ATATGAGGAAACGGTGAACGTAGTACCGGGGTTTAAGTAGTACCTCATATACAGGAGGGCTTAAAGGTTCAAAGCCTACCAGACAATCCAGAACTTCTGGCTCGGTTATGGTCACTGAAACTTGTTACTGAACGTAGCACGGGGTAAAGTAGTAGTTGAGTTGATGTAAAGTAGTTGAGTCGATGTAAATTGCGACATGCATACGTCGCATAGCATTCGCCTAATTGGTGCATAATTTATATTATAAAATTTTTTTCGATGTAAAGTAGTTGAGTCGATGTAAAATTGCGACATACATACGTCGCATATTATTCGCAAAATTGGTACATAATTAATAGTAAAATTTATTTCTTAGAAAGTTCTTTGTCTGTGAATTAAATATAGATTTAAGACTACGTCGCATATCATTCACAGAATTGTTGCATAATTAATTATAATATTTATTTATTTATTGGAAAGTTCTTTGTTTGTGACTTCAATATAAATTTAAGACTACGTCGCATATCATTCACAGAATTGGTGCATAATTAATTATAATATTTATTTTTTGGAAAGTTCTGTCTGTGAATTAAATATAAATTTAAGACTACGTCGCATATCATTCGCAGAATTGGTGCATAATTAATTATAATATTTATTTTTTGGAATGTTCTTTGTCTGTGAATTAAATATAAATTGAAGAATACTATTAGATGAATGAACCTGCGATTATTACTTCGAAACAATTCCGCATAAAAACCTCATAACACTCATACTATAACGAATAAAATTTAATTTTTTATGTTTTTGTAAATTTTCTATTCGGCGACATACGAAATTGTGAAGTACGAACGTCGCATATTAGTCCCCGAGTTGGTAAACAATTAATTGTATAAAATTAATTTTTAAAAAGTTTTTGGTCTGTGACTAAATTACTAATAAATTGAAGACTACTACTATTAGGTCAATGAACCTGCGATTATTAATCGAAACAATTCCGCATAAAAACCGCATAACACTATTACAATAACGACTAACATATATTTTTTATGTTTGTTTTTGTAAATTTTCTATTCTGCGACGTACAAAATTGCGACATACAAACGTCATATATTTTTGGAGAGTTGGTAAATTATAATTTTTGGAAAATTCTTGTTCTTTGACTAAATTAATAAATTAAAAAAAAACTATTAGGTGAAAAAAAAAGCGGTGCGTAACACTATTCGAAATGTGTTCGCATATTGATACATTTATGCGAGTTTTATATGAATATGCGATTCGTAACTATGCGAAAACATAACGCATAAGCGATAGTTATCTAAGCCTTATAGATTTAGATATGCGAATCGTAAATTATGCGAACATATGCCGCATAGTCGCATACTCATAAATGATGCAGTTTGGATTAATTTAATTACGCGATAGTTTTCCACATATCCTAAATGATGATGCGGTTGATCTGGCCTGGATATGCGATTAAAAAATGTAAATTACTTTTATTTATTTTTTTCATTACGTTATGCGAGAACAATGCGATCATCGCACTTTGTTCACAGTTCTGCGAATTTCCTTTCAACAATATTTTCCCTTCGAATATTGTCGCTGATTTTGCTGGGAAAACGCTGTTCACGGACATTAATAGTTTAATTGTCCATGCAACATATTGTTTTGTTTTTACATATGAATCATGATTAAACAAACACGTACTTGACAGAAGAAAAAAATATTTATTATTACTGCAGT